CGGATTACGGTTTGTTTACATTTCGTTTTAGCTTTATTAACTGATTTTCGCGTTGCTATTTGATTATTTTCAGATACAGTGTTGAAATATAAATAAGAATCCTTCCATGAAAGTAAAACACTTGGCGAAAAAGTAAGTACTTTATGATTTATGGTGTTTGTTTACTTTTTGAATCAGGTCAATTTCTGCGTAATTCAGTAGTGTTTATAATAATTTTATTTAAATAATATGAGTTTATGGGCACTTAGCTTCAACTTATGATATGAATTTCGCCGAAATAATGCATAATTAGCATTTTACAATGTTTGTTTACATTTTGCATTATCTTATTTTATGCTTAAATCTGAAATTTTTTAAACTTCTTTTTGATAAAATGTGGTTATTTATTCTTAGTACTGTACCCTAATAAGGAAATTAATTCGAATTGACGCGTATTTAACATTTTACATGGTTTGTTTACATTTTGCATTCGGCCGTTTTTTCGGTAATTCTGAAGTGTTTTTGACCGGTGTTTCGGTAAAATGTTACTTAGTGGCCTTGTATCTTATAAATAAGAAAGAAATTTAGTGGAAAATACGTAAAATAAAGGTTTTGAGTGGTTTGTTTACATTTTGTTTGGGCGATTTTTAGCGTTTAAAATGAGCGATTTTCGCCGTTTTTTCGCACACAATGTTTTTTTCAATAAAATAAGAGTCGATTACATGTGAAATTAAATCGAATTAACCATTAATTAACGATTTTCGAAATTTCGCCTTATTTCGAAAAAAGCTCGATATTTTCTAAGTCCACACATTTCGTAAAACGTTCCTACAAAATTTGGTTAAGTTTCGAAAAATCGCGTTTTTCAATGCCGAAAATATTTCCCAAAAATGCGAAGTACGAGATTTAAAAGTGCGAGAAAATGACTAAGTCCAACTGCGAGAAAAAACGACAAAGTCCCGAAAATCGAAAATATTTCAAAGTCCAAAAAAAAAAAACACAGCCGAAGAGCGACCGTAACCCACACGGGGAAACGAGAAGTTCGTATTAGCGTTTTTGCAAAAAAACACCACGGCGAGGGGTCCACGTCGGGAGAAAGCATGCCGAGCTACCGTCACCCTGAAAAACAACCTGTTTGCGCACATGACTGTCGCCACCTTATATGTGGGGTAGTGGTTGACGAGATCGAACGAGGCGCGCGTTGCGTCGTATTTCGATTCTCGCTCAGGCACGGAGGCTCGTACGTTGTTACGGTCAATCGCAAAAGCGTGGAGTACCGCTACGACTGAGAGCTATTTCGTGACGGAACGTTGCACTGGCGTCTCTTTATATGGGATGCTGGGCGGCGAACTTCCTGGGCGCAAAAGCTCTTCACGGGCACGGCTGTGGAGGGGTCGAGGGTTTGGCTACCGCTCTGACCGCAAAGCAGACGTGACGGATTCGTTTGTGCGCTCCTATGAGTTCTTCATGGGAGTGGTGCGTTCGTTTCCTCTCGTGATTCTGGCTTTTAATGAACGGTAAGGAGACAGCCGTTCCTTCGCAGCGAAAGGTCTGCGGGCAGGGACGATATACCGACTGGTTGTTGAGCTGGCTACCGCTTCCGGTCGGGAAACGTCTTTGACCGGTTGCACGCAACTTATCGCGAAGTTCTTTCGTGATGGAGGAGTGTGCGACCCTCCTGCGGACCGGCGTAGTAGTTCTCTTGTCCCTAGGGCCCCCCTCGTCTTCGGGAACTTCGTGTTCGCCGCTAGACGGGGTTGAGAACTGAAAACTTTCACAGCGAGTCTGCGACCAGCTCGGCCCCCGTGCCGTTGCTGGGCGTCCAGACCCGTAATAATAAAAATTGAAACACGGGACCTTTTGAATCTGTGTCCAACGCAGTAAAAATAGCCTCTCGATGCCCACGAAGGCTCACCTCCCGGCGCTGATGCCGTGGAGGACGTAGTGAGTTTTGAACCGCTACCGAAAGCACGAGATTATAAATCTGTGCGTATGAAATAAAAGAGGGAGCCGCCTGGACAACGGCTCCCAGCGCATTTTCCAAGGTGTGCGCTAAGAAATTGGTGGATTCGAGTTGCTCGCAGCTCGAACGTTCTATGAACGTAAAAAAGCTACCTGGTTGATCCTGCCAGTAGTCATATGCTTGTCTCAAAGATTAAGCCATGCATGTCTAAGTACATGCCGTATTAAGGCGAAACCGCGAATGGCTCATTAAATCAGTTATGGTTCCTTGGATCGTACCTTACTACTTGGATAACTGTGGCAATTCTAGAGCTAATACATGCAGCAGAGCTCCGACCCTCTGGGGACGAGCGCTTTTATTAGACCAAAACCAATCGGACCTCGTGTCCGTATCATGTGGTGACTCTGTATAACTTTGGGCTGATCGCACGGGCTCGTCCCGGCGACGTATCTTTCAAGTGTCTGCCTTATCAACTGTCGATGGTAGGTTACGCGCCTACCATGGTCGTAACGGGTGACGGGGAATCAGGGTTCGATTCCGGAGAGGGAGCCTGAGAAACGGCTACCACATCCAAGGAAGGCAGCAGGCGCGCAAATTACCCACTCCCAGAACGGGGAGGTAGTGACGAAAAATAACAATACGGGACTCTTTTGAGACCCCGTAATTGGAATGAGTACACTCTAAATCCTTTAACGAGGATCAATTGGAGGGCAAGTCTGGTGCCAGCAGCCGCGGTAATTCCAGCTCCAATAGCGTATATTAAAGTTGTTGCGGTTAAAAAGCTCGTAGTTGGATCTCAGTTCCAGACGGGTGGTCCGCCTACCGGTGGTTACTGCCTGTTCTGAACAGCCAGCCGGTTTCCTTTGATGATCTTCACCGGTTGTCTTGGGTGACCGGCAAGTTTACTTTGAAAAAATTAGAGTGCTCAAAGCAGGCGTGACGCCTGAATAATGGTGCATGGAATAATGGAATAGGACCTCGGTTCTATTTTGTTGGTTTTCGGAATACGAGGTAATGATTAAGAGGGACAGACGGGGGCATTCGTATTGCGACGCTAGAGGTGAAATTCTTGGACCGTCGCAAGACGAACTACTGCGAAAGCATTTGCCAAGAATGTTTCCATTAATCAAGAACGAAAGTTAGAGGTTCGAAGGCGATCAGATACCGCCCTAGTTCTAACCATAAACGATGCCAGCCAGCGATCCGGCTGTGTTCCTCAAATGACACGCCGGGCAGCTTCCGGGAAACCAAAGCTTTTGGGTTCCGGGGGAAGTATGGTTGCAAAGCTGAAACTTAAAGGAATTGACGGAAGGGCACCACCAGGAATGGAGCCTGCGGCTTAATTTGACTCAACACGGGAAAACTTACCCGGCCCGGACACAGGAAGGATTGACAGATTAAGAGCTCTTTCTTGATTCTGTGGGTGGTGGTGCATGGCCGTTCTTAGTTGGTGGAGCGATTTGTCTGGTTAATTCCGATAACGAACGAGACTCTAGCCTACTAAATAGACGCTCCGATCCTTCGAGTCGGACGTTCTTCTTAGAGGGACAAGCGGCGTTTAGCCGCACGAGACAGAGCAATAACAGGTCTGTGATGCCCTTAGATGTCCGGGGCCGCACGCGCGCTACATTGAAGGAATCAGCGTGTGCTTTCCCTGTCCGACAGGACTGGGTAACCCGTTGAACCTCCTTCGTGCTGGGGATAGGGGCTTGTAATTGTTCCCCTTGAACGAGGAATTCCCAGTAAGCACGAGTCATAAGCTCGTGTTGATTACGTCCCTGCCCTTTGTACACACCGCCCGTCGCTACTACCGATTGAATGATTTAGTGAGGTCTTCGGACTGGCTCTCGAAGCGGCTTTCGGGTCGCGTCGGCGTGCCGGAAAGATGACCAAACTTGATCATTTAGAGGAAGTAAAAGTCGTAACAAGGTTTCCGTAGGTGAACCTGCGGAAGGATCATTACCGATGGTCAGATTCGTCTGGCAAAAACATTGGTTAAACTCGGGGAGGAGGGTTCGCCTTCCTTCCCTGTGCTGCGCGCCACAGAGCGGCGTGGAAGCACAGAAAAAAACTTTGAATGCTTATTTTTGAAATCCCAAGTGGTCTCGTACCCACATCGAGGTGCCTAGTATAATTTCCCGGTCGCAGATTGACGACAAGAGGGAGGTGTTGGACTTTCGGGTCCGATGCTAGGTTTAATGAGTACCGCCACAGTTGGTGGACCGCCTCGCGGGTACGATATCCCGGTGGGGCCCTCTGAAGGAAGAGCGACGGAGAGCTCGCGACTTCGGTCGACTTCTGGTGGGGTCACTTTCCGTGAATTGAACGCTTCTCCGTGCTTCCCCGCAAGGGGAGGTATTTCTTTCATAAGACTTTTGAACGCAAATGGAACCCCTCGGGGATCCATATAATAAAGATGACAACTCTGAGCAGTGGATCACTCGGCTCACGGGTCGATGAAGAACGCAGCCAGCTGCGAGACTTGGTGTGAATTGCAGGACACATTGAGCACTGATTTTTCGAACGCGCATTGCGGTCTCGGGTGATACCCGGGACCTCGCCTGTCTGAGGGTCGGATGAGACTTGCCGAAGGAGCTTGCTCCTACTTGGTCGTATCGGACGTCAAACTCCGTCGACCTAAGGTCTCGTATCCCCTTGGCCGAGAAGCGCACCATTTGAGAGGACGCTCGAGGGCGGGAGAGACGATGCATAAAGATACCGAGGACGGTAGAGGAAGCCGTGACCTCTGGTAAGTAATATGAAATGAGAAGCGTATACATGAGTTATACGACAAATGGCTTTGTGGCAAAAATTGATGGTATAAGATTGGTATGAATATCAAATCTAATAAAAATGAAAATCATTATACAAGTTGGCAATGATTTGATTAATATGAGAGAAAGGTATCGGACTGATACCCCGAATGGCGTCGGAGGGGCGCCTGAAATATTGCATTGTCTCCCATACTCTGAGCCTTTGGTGTGCGAAATGGCTGGATGTAAGGGTTGAAGATACTATAGAATTCGTGTATAACACGGGCACGAAATAATTATATTGT